AGAGAGAACTATGGCCTTATAAATTTCATAAGATTGTTTATTGTTTTGAGGAAGGAATGAGAGAATGTCATGTAAACACTGTTAATAAACTGTAGAGAACTAAATTGTAGTTGACATTCAAGAAAAATGTCTCATGAATAGGACACAAGGACAGTAGGTGGAACCCACTCTCTTACCTCAGAGTGTAAGGTAGTGTGTATGTAGTGATGGGGTCAGATATATAGTAGCTTCAGCAAAACTCCATTCAATGACATAAAACTACAGAAGGTACCTCAGGTCAACTGTTCCAACTCTCTATGTGGCACATGTATTTTAAATACTAGGTCAGGCAGCGTAATCTCTGATTCAAACTTTGTGATGGTCACGTAACACTTTACAATTCAGTCATTCTCTGTTTAGACAGCTTGGACTTGTTTAAAAGCTCTTTATTGTAATGAATTGAAATTTGCATTTCCTGTGACCTTCCCCTCATTGGTCTTGATTCTGCTCTCTGGCCTTGCACAATGCTGAACAACTGAAGACAGTCATCATTCCCCTAAGTAGACTCTTTTCCACTCAAGCCACTCAAAACCAAGTCCTTCTTTAACATGTTCTCATACAATAGACTGACCTGTGCTTGTGTTTTACTAGATTAGAATCCAGTAGGGTGGGGGCTAAACAGTACACTTAAGAACTGGGTCAATCTCTTATATTCTATATAAGATATAGGATTGTATAAATTCCCTACAATCACATTAATTTTTTTTTGCCTCCTCTGCCCCAACTTCCCTTATATTATTCTTGAAATTCGTTGAGAGCCCCAGGATTTTTATTTTCAAGCTTTGATGTCTAGCCACTACTCTCTGATTCTGCACATATACAGCTAGTTTTCTGGGCACAGGAGCAGGACTTCATGTAGATTCTTAATAAGTTGGGCCTATTGTACCATTCAATTGAGATTTTTAATATCTTGACTCTATCACTAAATATATTTACTGTTCCTGCTGGCTCCACATTGGCTGGAACCTTCAAATTAGTCCTTCAGACTTTTCTAAAAATTGCTGAGAAAACACTTGAGTATAAAAGGGTGAAAAGGAGATCATTAGAAAGCTATAAATTCAAACCCTAGCATTTTGACCTCCTATTAATGTTAAATTTTATTCAGTATTCAGCTCTAAGTTTTCAATGAGGATTACATAAGAAGTAGCCATACAAAAAAGGCCTCTGTTTTTTTTGTGTAAAATTGTATTAGGTGATTCAATGTCTCATTTATAAAAATCCCCTGGGAAATTTCTCTTGGAGCCCAGGAATAGGAAAAAAAAAAAAAATTCTCTCCCAATGATAGCTGAGCTGGTCTGAATTTCCTTCTGTTTTGACTCATAAGAAGCTCAAAGAAAAAAATCAATTGCTCAATTGCTGTATCATTTCTTTATTTCTATTTATTTATTTTCCCCCTTTCCATCTTACTTTATTACCTAGCTCTCCATGTTAACAGTTCTATGTTAACATGCTACTATTTTTTTCAGTAGATTCATGATATATCCTTTCTATATGCAGTCAGGATATAAAAAGAAACAAAAATGATCAGGATACCACTTAAGATGTCTCTCCAGATGTTTAAATGCCCATGGACTAATTTCTTTATTTTTAAGTGGGACAGCTGGGAATTATCCCCAGAGTGCTTATGCTGAAGTAGCTTTGCTTCATTTCCTTCAAAATTTGTTCTCAATTTAGAAGGGCATGTTTACAATGCCATGAAAAAAAAATCTTAATCTCCCCAAATGGTACCTTATTTCAAAGAAAAAATAAAAATTATTCAATCATTTGCTTGTTTTTTTTTCCTTTCTATTACAAGGCCTAACATTCATTTCATTGTAGAATAATCTTTTTTTCCACTCAATACTGCTACTTTCCTGGAATATTTACCCTGAAAATACTGTTGGACTTTTAACTGTTATTAAAAGCCCAGATTCCTAGAATTGAACTATTACACATTAATTACTATTTGTGTGATTATGAATAAATGCTGGGTCATGAAGTTTCTCATTTACAGAAAACTACTTTTTGATGAACATCTGCTGTTAAAATGTATATAACTTACTTTTAAACATTTTAAAGTATGTAGCTTATATTGTCATACAGAGGTGCAATATTCTAAGCTGAAATTTTAGGAGCTTAATAAATCAGTCTAGGGTGGTCGGCCAGCCTTATATCAGAAAGGCAGTACTTTAGCTGTGTCCACCACAGAGTGTTATACTTATTTCAATGAATAAATGATGTTTAGCAAATGATTTTCTTTTAGTGACTGATTAACTAGCATGATGTGCTATAAATAGAAGTTAATTGGCAAAACTATAGATTTAAATATATGGTAGTATAAAAATATTTTTCACCTTTGCATGCACAGAGTGAACAAATCTCAAGGATGCCTATAACCTGCACCAAAGGATTAGAGGGGCAGGAATAAGTGGGATGGTACCAAAGTTCTGTCATTAGCCATCCTATTTCCAACTGTTGGTTTGATTGGATTTCTGGTTCTCTGAGGCTGAATATATGAGTAAAAATTCCTGAACCTGTTATGTTGTCTTATCTGATTCAAGAGAATATTTTTCTCCAAGGTTATGAATGGACAGAGTGGAATGTCATCAAATTTACAGAAGAGGTTGTAAGAGTCCATTACTACCTTCTTGCTAATAAATATTTGCTAACATCTACCTATATGTGGAGAAGAATTTGCTTTAAGTCTTTCTTTTAATATAAATAGCAAAAATGATATAATTGGGATTGTTGTGCCTCACCCATCTCAACTTCTTCAGTAGCTACTTTTGCCTATCTGAGTTGAGTGTGACCATACTATTACAGGACTCTTTTTAATGAACATTTTGCCTCACTGTAATTTTTATCAGTGCCCTTGAAATGATTTACTATTTCTCTTTCCCAGATAGGGAAACTCAGGTTCAGAGGAGATTAACCCATAATCATATGGATATGGAATGGTTAGAACCCCATCTGTTTGATTCCATTGCTTCAATTTTCCCTGCCACCTCCCAGGTTCACCACAAGGTCACTGCAAGGAATGGATGAATGTGTAATGCTTATAGCTGTATTCCCTGTGAATGTGTGGGTCGAACAAAGGCTTTTCAGCTCCCTTGATAGCCCAAAGTCAATTACCTATTAAATTGCAATCCTATATAGTTATTGTTGCTTTGCACAATTACAATTATTATATTTCAGTATTTTTGTTATTTTTCATACTGTTTTTAAACCTATACCTTCTTTTGGCCTACCCAATATATTCAGAGAAGTCATAAATTTATATCCCAAGGCGCAGATTACTGTGTGCCACACTTGTATGGCCCAGATCTGAGAGCCCTCTACCAGAAATTTTGGTTCTAAAATTGTCACTGGAACATGCTTTGAAAAAGTAATATTATCACAAGACCAATAATAATAATAATAATAATAATAAACTTATCTCAAAGCATTTTAGAATTAGAATGCTGAAATGATATAAACTGTTTGTGGATTGATAATTTTGATGTTCATTAAAGAAGAACCAAGTCAAATATTTTTTTTTGTAGTGTGAAACTACTTGCAGGCTAAAAGTAAATAGCAAAATTTAAGATATAAATATGAAAGAATTGTACTCTATTCTTGCCAATAAAATATTGCATTCTAAATACATTTTATATTGGATATTGTATTCTAAGCATAAATAAATATGGCTATAAAGAACCAACTAGCTTAAATCTTAAATCTTAACCATCTAGCTTATATATCAAATCTTAAGTTCTTAGAGGAAAGATCTTAGACTAATGGATAAGTAAACATTAATATATTCTTATTTATATTTCTGAAATTTATGCTTTTAGGTTATTTATACATAAGTGGAAGTTAGAGAGAGCTATGTATTCATATGAAGCTATTTCTTTAGCAACTCGTTATTTGGATGCCATGTGGCAGAACTGCATCCAAAGAATATGAAGCTTTGAAATAAATGTACATTTGTATGTTCAATATAAAACATATATTTGAATTTAATTCCATTGAAAAAGTATTATAAAATGCAGAGATAATGTGGCCAAACTTTATGGCAGAGGGATACTACTACGTATGCATTATTTTACAATTATACACATGGCTTAAAAATTGAGTGTATTTTCCTTTTCTTGTGTTCCCTCTTTCTGGGTACAGTCATGGCTATAATCCCAGCAATTTGGGTGGTTGAGGCAGGCAGGAGGAACACAAATTCACTACTAGCCTCAACAACTTAGCAAGACCCTGTCTCAAAACAAAAAATATAAAGGGTTGTGGATGTAGCTCAGTGATAAAGCACCCTGGGTTCAATCCTCAGTAACAAAAAGTATTCTTCTTAAACTGAATAACACATATACAGTATAAAGTAAGATGTTTTATTTTTAATTTATTATTATAATTATTATTATTATTATTTGCACCAGGGATCAAACCCAGGGGTGCTCTAAAAACTGAGCCACATCATCTGTCCTTTTTATTTTTTATTTTGAGACAGGGTCTTACTAAGGTACTGAGGGCATTGCTAAGTTGCCAAAGCTGGCCTTAAACTTGCAATCCTCCTGCCTCTGCCTCCAAAGTTGCTGGGATTACAGGCATAAGCCACCATGCCCAGCTCTCTCTTTGTTTTTAAAATATGTGCGTTTGCTACAGAAACTTAAAATAAAAAATACCTTGAAATTATTATGTTATTCTAAACATTAATCAACAATAGTACTTTGGGGGAAAAATTCCATACGTTGGGGTAATTTCTTGGGGTGATTTTTCTACTAGCTGATATCGATCATATTTGAACAAGATGAAACATAAAAATATAAAATTACTACTCTTATAAAGTTTAAGGTCCATCAATCCTCAGGAAGCTGGTTGGATACAAAATTAAGATCTGTTCTAGGATTTCAACAATGACTTTAGCAATAGCAGAAAAAAAAAAAAAGAAAAGAACATACTTAGGGAGAAAAATCTCTGATTATTTTATGAAAACATACCACTCCATTCACCGATAGCAGCTGGTCTCCTCTTTTGAGGCCTCCGTGTCTTTCAGCCACCCCTCCAGGAATGATGCGAGAGATATAAATGGGAGAATTTTGCTCCTTTCCTCCCATCACGTTAAAACCAAGGCCTTCATCAGTCTTTGGCAGTTCGACTACCCGAGGGTGGGAGTGGCCTTCACTAGCTGCAAATGCTGCAACTGTGGCCTGAAAGAAAAGATGGTCTTTTGGTAATAAAATGAGGGAAAAAAAGCTAATGTGCTTTGTAGGGGGCAACTCACGCAACTTCTTAATTTTTTTTTTTTTTGGCATTTTCCTGTGAAAGAGAAACCCAGAAGGGAGGGGCCTGTCTTCATTTAGATGCCATGTAGGATTCCTTTCTTTGGCAAACCCCACCCACCTGTTTTCAAGCTTATAAAGCTTATCTGCTATATCACTTAAGGTAGCTAGCTCACTTATGAAAATACTCCTATTCCTGGGCTCCAAATAGTTTTGGTACATATACTACCTAGTATTATAAGTATTTTGTACATATGTTGACTATGAACACCTTAATGACAGATTATGTCTTGCATTTTTTTAAAAGACACACAGTCTACCCTGATGCTTACACATGAATGCTTATAAATATTCAATAATCTGAAGAGCATTTACACGTGTATACTCTTGGGAATATATATGTAATTTGCTATTGCCAGATCACTG